GGTTGTCATAGGACATATTTTGTTGCTAAATATTTATATATTGAGTAGAGATATTTTGTTGGCTTATAATCAAAAGTAAATAATTTATAATAGAATTGAAAATCAGATAACGAACCCAATCAAGCTGATGTAAGCAAGAACAATCCAACACCCTTTTTCATTGACAGATTTTACCGGAATGAATGAAGCGTAACCGAATGTGACAAATGACAGAACAATTAACAAAATCTGTACGGCGAAGAAGATAATCTACAACAACAAAAAAATCAGCACTGCTTTTATTTGTTCAAAACAACAAAGCAAGTTAATATTTGTGTTAGATGCCAATTTGTCAGCCTAATTCCTTTTTGAGAACATTTCATGCATTACAAATTTATTAAAAGTAGATAGTCATACAAATTAGCTGAAAATGCACAGTCGCAAAAGCCGATCTCAAATATATCTCTCTAATTATAACTATACTACAAAATGAATAATCACAAAAAGTCACAACTGCATATAAGGCAAAAAACAGTAGTAACATATAGATTAGCCTTGATTAATATTGGCTGTACACTGTTGCACATATTTTAAAATATTCATAATTATCATACAACGCAGCTGAAATCATTACACGTACAATGCTCGTTTACGAATCGAACACTCAGATGTCAATATGAGTGAATATGCAGATGTTATCATACACCATTGTAATTTAAATTATCCGGTCAAGAACCGAATACCTTTTCTTGCTATATTTAATTTAGATGTGAGAAAAGCATAAAAAAATTAACTTACTCGAGAGTGTATCAGCGAACAAACCCACAAATACTTCTGTTTGTGTGATGTAAATGAAGAGTGGCAAATACCAGTTCTGGAAACAGAAGCCCACGTACGTGACACTTGACTACTCATTCTAATCTGAAATTACAAAGTTTGAAAAAATTAATCACATCCATTTACACGTCACCGGAAAACAATTATTACAGTCTCAAATCAAAACTGGTCCTCAAATAATGCAGCAAAGATTCATATATTAATGGAAGAAATTTATATTGCATGAGCCAATCACGTTAGAATACTCAAATAAATATGCATTCCGTAGGTAAAGAATCATTTAGTAAAGCAACAAAAAAACGTGATTTGAATTTGAAAAGCTCACAATCAGAATCAAATCATAAACACATAGTAAAGTATACACTTTACTATGTGTTTATGATTTTACGTGTGAAGTACGTGTGTATCTTTCAAACACGTGAAAATGATGAGTTATAACCAAAGTCATACTTGAAACAGATGCACAAAGTAGGAAGTAATATCAGAGTATGTTTGATTAACTTGCTAGATTTATAGCTAAACATCTGTGGGTGCATGTACGTGTGAAACATTTCTTCTACAAACATAGCGTAATGCTATTCACGTACTCGACTCACTTAAAACGTGGCATTAGGCAAATCCCCATCTGGAAAATTACATACAAAATTACTATAAAACATTGTACAATCCCTTAAGCCATTTCATCACATCGAAAAAAATTATCGCATTTTGCACGTACGCATCTATCCTTTGCGAATGCGAGCTTGCTACTAACGTGCAGTTTATAGTACTACTGTTGACGCTTGTTTTTAATCTGCATGAAGTTATTCGTTTTTAGCAGTTTACTTTACGTACGTGTGCGTTTGATTACTTATAGATATACTCAGAATTATGTATGGATAAGTATGAGTTCGTTTCAATGCATGGAATAAAGTGTGAATAATATTGCATACAATATATTCTCATATTTGCTGACGTTTATCAATAACGTAGGATATGTTTGAAGTGAATCACACGTAAGTTCAAATTACGCGAGTGTTTTTGTAAATTTAGTTACCTGGTTGCAAAGCTATTTCGAAATGTAGGGAAGCTTTTTTCAAGTACTGTGCAAAAATCTGAACCACATGAATAAGTTATAGCTCAATACAGTTATGGCGTATTCAGATGATCGACTCGAAGAAATATTTGAGGTATGACTGTAATGATGAAAAGATTAAAACTAATTATTCATGATAATTTGATATTTTAGTAGCTAAAAATTTGAAGAATTTTGGTTTAGCAAAATTTCACCATTTTGTAAGTTTAGTAATGTTATCACTAATTTTGCATTTTTAATTTGTAATTTATTCATGTGTGCGAGTTATTTGACTGATGGAAATGAATATTTTCATGCCTGTATGTGTTGATATGGATTGATTGATGAAATCAAATCATACTGTAAAGCAGTGAATAATTTTTAGAGATCCAGAGAACTGAATCCAGATTTCTTAGATAACACCGCAAGTCTTGCGTTTGAAATGCATAGTGATTGGTTAAGTGTGCTTGCCGCTGAAAATATCAAACGAATTAATGATGCTGTGATTAATATATTCATTCGTTATTTGAATTATTAAAGAATAAAAAGAAAATTAGATTAAATTCGTTGACTTTACGAACAAAATATATCATGAAATTTGCAGATTTGAATTTATGTTTTTTTTAATAATTCAGTCAGTTCACAAGATGGGTTGTGTAAAATGTAGGAAACTTTTTTAATAGAGTTTCTTCTTTTCCATTATTCAAACTGTTGCTGTGTGTTCACGTGATGTTACAAATCATGCTTTCAGGATGCTTGTGATTACGTATTTCACACTGCTTCATCTACTGAATTTATTTTCAATGCTTGTTCAAAACTTAGTTTACCAAATGAGGTAAAATATAGTGCTGTCTTCATATTTGACAGGTATGTGCACGGTTTTTAGAATCATTTTGATCTGTTGTCATTTTAACCTAAACTCATTATCCCAACTGCTTTTGTATCATAAATTCTTCCATCCATTTTGCTCAACACCCAAATTTTCATTCTTAGTGCCACTATTTCTATGAATGAGTTGCACTGACTATCTACTCAACTCATAACTGATTAATTTTTTATGGCAATGATTATATCGGACTTACATGTTCTTATTCATTCTCAGAAAGTGATATTATGCACACATTCTGCAAACCCTCTTTCAGATTACTCAACTTTCTAATTCCAGTTTTATGGTACAGCTTGTGACTTACTTTTACCAGAAAGTAATGAGATCAAAGCATTCTCTTCGTCGAAAATTTCGACAATGGGAACATGTTGAAGCAACACTCTCACGTCAAATAGCACTACGAGTGTTGTCCGCAATTCAGATTGCTTCTAAAATGCATAGCTACCATGAAGTATGTCACATTGATTGTATTCTTCTATTACGTTATCGAAGAAAATTATAGGATGGAATATACTTTATTTAATTATTAAGCATTGTTATTTTACGTTATCGGTCAGTGGCACTATGTATACGCCATTAATTTAGCAACTGCTTTTAATCTAGAGATTATATGATGATATAGGTCATAATAGGGTTTTATAATTTATACTGAACATTTTTGGAATTTGTGTAAAATTTAGACAGTTATGTAACCAATATAAGCCATTGGTATTATTGATTTTACTTTCAGAATTCTTTGTTGATTATCGTTTTACAGGAGTATTATCTCATTACAAATACTATGATCTGAAACAAAATTATCCTTAGCAGTGTTATATTTTCAGAGTTTATCTATCGAAACTGTGAAATTATGTTTGAAAAAATACGGATATTGCTACCCAGATGATTCAATAATGAAGTCAGAATTGCGCATGTTATCAATGATTGATTGGAATCCTACGTACCACTGTACTCCTCTCGTTTATGTAGAATCGCTGTTTAAAATTATTAATAAGTTTTTAAATCTTATTAATTTTCAGTTATTTCCAGAAACGAATAAAGTTGTTACACTTATACTATGTGGGTTACTTGAAGGTAAAATATTGTACGTTGTTTGATAAAAAGCGTTATTGGACTGATTATGTAGGAAGTCATATGACTTTCTGGACAATCGGTGCAGAATATCTCATTTAACAACATATGGCGATTACAGTTTCCTTTAATGAGGACAAAGAAAAATAATTTGGCTTCACTTAAAGTAAAATAAATCCAAACTGTTTATAGTACTGAAGAGAAAATGAAT